ATTTCAGTTTAATAACATGAGAGAATCTCCCGTTAATCATTTTGGTTTAGCTGTATAAGAGAATGAGAGAGAGATAGTGAGAGGGAGAGAGAGGAGGAGAGAGAGAATTTTGAAGTCATTTTCTGTGTTGCCACTAGGGAAAGACAGGAATTAAATAGTTTTGGGCCTGTTGGATTCTTGTGTCTTTAAGATCTCCTCAGAAGAAGAAAATTTGTTTGTTGTTTGGCTATTTATTATTCCTATAATTTGGGGTTCTTTGGATGTATTTGGGGACCTGGAAAATTGGCTGCTCACATTGGGGACAGTCCACCTTCCAGTGTCCCTGTTGTTAACATTTGGGACAGGCCTCAGGTTAGGGCAGACATATATATTTGATACACCTTTATTTTATTTATTCTATTTGGTGCTGAGAATCGAACCAGTGCCTCACACATACCAGGTAAGTGCGCTACCACTGAGTACCAGCCCCAGCCCCTAGGGCAGACTTTTGCCCAGTGTCCAGTCCATCCACATCGGGTGCAAGAGCAGTCAACAGCCCAATGGTCTGCCTGGTGGCATTTACGACAGGGATGGGGCTGGCGGGGGTTGCGGAGGATTAGGGCAGGATCTGACCCAATGACCCGACTGGCCACATTTGAAACATGGTACGGGTGGTTCCCTGGGGGGTATTTTGGAGGGTCTAAGGTGAGTGGGGGCATAGGTTATGGGGGCGTTCTCTTGGCCTTGAATTGTGGAGGCCAGGGGCTGGTATATAACCTTAAGATGTTTCTTTCTTTTTTAGTCTTCCTCCTCCCGGTTGTTAAAAACCTTGAAAACCTTATCTAAGAGTAGCTGCTGAGGAGACTCAGGGCCCTCCTCTAAAAGTCTGAGTTTTTTGTGGATGTCAGGTGTAGACCCGCAGATAAAGTTAAAATGAAGGAGCCTGCCTTAGGGGCTGGTGACATGCCAATTTGTGTATTTGGTGATAGCCTCAGTAAGTTGGGCCAAAAATTGGGCGGGATTTTTATTAGGTCTTTGGGTAATTTCCTTTATCTTTTTTCAATCTACCATGATTAGTAATAGTTTTTGGCTGATTAATTTGGCGGTAGCTAAAGGGCAGACTAAGGAGAAATGTAAGATATATTGGAATCAGGGAGGATGGGGGGAGCTGTCTTCCTCCAATAGACCAAAACAGAGGTGGAGCAGTGTGTAGAGGCCCAAATAATGAATGGCTTGCAATAGTTTTTGGGTGATTGTCCAATTTCGAGGGACAGTGATGGCTAGGCAATTGAAATTAAGTCAGATGGGATTTTTGGATTGGGAGCTCCCCATGAGAGTTTAACAGCTGAAGCGGCTAGAGGCAGGTATCCCCAGCTCTAGACCAAACTAGAGGGAGTGGACGCCAGCAAAAGCAGTCTGCCTGTCACTGGATTC